ATCTAATTAGAAAAGCAAAACCAGAAAATAAATCTTCTTTAAAAACACCTTAATAAATAAATAATTGCAAATATTAAAAGGAGCATGGCTCCGATACCGCTGTCGGGTTTCGTAGTGACCCACACTACGCGGAATGAAACCCGTCAAGACCCGCCCCCATAATAAATGCATTTAACAAGAAAAACATAATTAAATACAAGAAAGGATAAAAGATTATACCTTTGACGCGAGCTTCGCTCAACTATGACCTCTTACTTGAACCCCGAAAATACGAGGTCTCCAACGGGATCGTACCCTCGAACCCGACCCGAGCATCCTAAGTCTCAAAGGTTAGTCGAGACCCGGAAAAATAAAACTATGAGTTTTACGAATCAAGGTTTACTCAAATCAAGAGTTGGCTTTTAATTCCACTAAAGGTTATCCCATTCCCAATACCTTAGCAAGGTATTTATAGGTTATTGGGTCCTTGATTTCCAATCTCCCACCAATGTGGGAGAGTTGGTAAAATCAATAATTTATTTAATTCCAAATTAAATAAATAATTATGTTAATCACATTGCGACAAGTGGCACAATCACATGCTAATGAGTGATGACCAAGGATAGGTGGGGGGACCATTTGCCTTGTCCCCTAAGGCCCTTGATTGGTCCCCACAATCATGCACAAACCGGCACAAGGCTACTTGGCTGGCAGCCAGCTAGCGTGCCAGCTAGCACTGCCCAGATGCCTAGCATCCCCAGCCAGGCAGTACTTGCTGGTGCTGGGCGATGCTTGGCGCTGGTGCTGCGTGCTACTATTGGGCGCTGGTACACGCAATACTGGTACTGGCCCCCAGCACTCCCACACAATCCCTCGCACATACTAGCAGCCCTCGCACATGCTCTATGCATAGCCACTTGCACCCTACGCACAGCCAGCCTAGCCAGCGTGCCTAAGCATGCAAGGCCCTAGCATGCGTGCTGGGCAATGGTGCACATGCACACGCACGCACGCAAGCCCTTGGCATTGCGATGGTGCTGTGCGTGGTGTTAGGCCTGCGATGGTGCCTGGGCTGCGTGCTGCGATGGTTCAATAGGCCTAGGCACAAGCACACGCACATATGCATAGGCCCAGCAAATTGATGGTTGTGCTTGGTGCGTGTGGCCTGCGATGGTGCCTAGGCACTCGCACACGCCCAGCGTGCTGTGATGCGAGGCAAGCACCCATGCTAGTACTTGGTGCTAGCGATGGTGCTGCCATGCTAGGCACGCACGCACGCCAACACCTAGTGCCAGCGATGGTGCGCCTAGCACACCTAGTGTGCTTAGGCTTGCGCCTAGCCATGCTAGGTGCATGCTAGCTCGAACTAGCCTAGAATCCACATGGTTAGACCATTGTGATGCAACGGCTACGCTCGTACTTGTCGCTTGTGATTTTGCGACGCTCGGCCTCGACGCCCTAAGCTCGTTATCCGACGTCTGTATTCGTAAAACTCTGTCGACTCATTAAATCCTTTTGGATTAATTCGTCGTCTCGGATCGGTAAATCGATTGGGTTCGACCCGAAGGGTTTAGTTAAAATTAAGCTGTAATATTAATCATACCTTAATATTACTGATCGGAAGAGGCCTCCACCTAGGCATTCCGATCACTTGACCTTACTAAAGAAGTAGCTCTGTAATAATTCTGAACCCTCTATCAGAATAATACACTTGTTAGAAGGACATCATTCCTTTCATCCTGGGCATAAACAAAGAACTAAACAAACAAGTATGAGAAACTGTCCAAAAGAACTTGCGTTCTCTGAGACTAAAGAGAATAATCTAGAATACAAAAACAATTAAAACTAAAAATAAAACTGTTTCCCCGGCAACGACGCCAAATTTGGACAGGCTAAAGTCGTATCACCTAATCAAAAGTAATTCCTAAAACCACTAACTAATAGAGATAGGGAAATAGGGTCGAATCCACAGAGATTCAGGTCTTTCTATTCCTAATTAATTAATATAATCTAAATTATCTGATATACACGTTTTATACATCGATTTATCCGGATATTACATCACATTCTTGCATGGTTTTAGGCTCTTTAGAGCCATTTCTCACTAACAATCTCTTCTCTAGTGTGTTCGGTGTGTTTTTATAATTTTTAGTAGGAATACAGAGTTTCTTGGATGAATCGGACGTGTTTTGGATGATTATAGAAGAGGTTGGTGTGTGAAGAAGAAGGTTTCCCCTATGCCCTGTTGACCCTAGCTTGCTCGGTCCAACAGGGCAATGAAATTAAAGATGAGTTTAATACGGAGTAATTGCTGCAGCTCTTACGTGCCCGATCGGGCATGGTCCGCCCGGTGGGACCGGGATCAGAGGAGTAGAAGCCTAGCGTTGAAACAAGAAGGCAGCAATCGATTTGGAGAAGCAAAGTTGCGCGCCCAATCGGGCACCACCCGCCCGGTGGGACCGGGCAGAAGGGAGAAGAAGCAAAACGCAAGTGGAGCAACCCGTATACCATCCGCCCGATCAGGCGGTGCTCGCCCAGTTCGACCGGGCAAAGGCTTGCGGAATCCGATTTTAATACTTTCACAATTTTATCTTGTTAAGGGTATAAATACCTATAGTAATCATCATTAGAATATATATTACTATCTCCTTAAGTTTACTTTCTCTCTCTAGAACCCTAGTTTAATGCTTTTTAGCAATTTAATTCCTAGGTTAGAATTGGGTATTGTTGATTAACAATTTGAGTAATTTCAATTGAAGCATCATTGGTATTCATCTCTATTCCTTTCTCTTTCAATTATTTTTGTTTTCAATTATGTTTTCCTTGATTATTATTGTTATTGTTTCTTTCAATATGTGTGAGTAGTTTTCTTATTCCAAGATCTAGGGTAGCCCAATTATGATTGATGTATAAATTAATTCTTTAAATTCTCTAATAACAATTGCAATTGTTTATGCTAAATTGATTGTGATTATGCCAATACTAGATTAGAGATAATTAGTATTGTCATTATTCTATAGTTTCAATCACAACGAGAGTTGGGTTTTAACGGAGAGTAAATTAATTTAGGGTTTGAAATTCATCACGAGAGTAGTTGAATTGATAATTGGGAAGTGAAGTAAAGTGTTTAATGTCTCTAATTTGCATGATTCCATGAGAATAGGCTTGATTGTATGTTAGGGAAGTCATTGATACTCGAGAGAAGTCCTTGGTATTGATTAGGGTTTACTTTTCCCCATGTTAATTGGAATTGTATGTTAGGGGTAGATATATAATTGCATCGATCGTATTTGTGGTGATACTTGATCTTGGATGTTTTAGCTTATTGATTCATTATATTCTTTTGATTTATTCTAGTTTTCCATACATTAGCTCTTAGTTTATTCCACCATTGATTTGATTCTTGCTTAGTAATTATTTGAGTCTACATAATTTAGGTGAACCTTAGTCTCTTGGGATTCGACCCTTACTTGCGCGACTACATAGTTAGGAGGAATAGTTAGGTTATTTTTTTTAGGTACGCGACATGCCTACCAAATTTTGGCGCCGTTTCCGGGGACTAATGGTTTCAATTGATTATTTGTGTTTCGTTTTTGCTGAGCTTTATTCGTTGCTTCGGCTATTTTCTCTTGTGTTTTTGATATTCTTTCTCTAATTTTCTTGTTGCATGCAAACATGACGTTCAGACGATCTTGAACCATTTGACTCTGAAATCGAGGCAACTATAAGGAGAAGGAGAATAAGAAATCGACATAATAAAAACATGGACGATGCCACGAAATCTTTATTGGAGAACGGGATTCCTGATACAGCAACCGGGCTCCTATCCAACATTGTAAGACCACCTATTACCGCTTAGAGATTTGAATTAAAACCTCAATTCATATAGTTCCAATGACTCATTCGCAAGTACACCTCATTAATGCCCTGTTAGTCACATAGACAGTTTCTTGAAGAAGTGTGACACCATAAAGCCAACGGTGCTACGGATGATGCTATCAAACTTCGTTTGTTCCCTTTTTCACTACAGGATAGAGCGAAAGAATGGTTACGAGACGAAGGTATAGGTTCCTTTGATACATGGGATAAGCTTGTCAAGGCTTTCTTAGTAAGATTTTTAGGGCAAGAGAAGACAACAAAGTTAAGGAACGAGCTAGCTACCTTTTGTCAATCTAATGATGAGTCTTTATATGAGGCATGGAGAAGATTCAAGCGCTTACAGAGACAATTCCCTCATCATGGTATCCTAGAGTGGATGTTGATCCAAACATTCTACAATGGTCTGACCCATGAGTTTCGCATATACATTGATGCTGAGTCCGGGGATTCTCTCATGACTAAGAACCCAACTGAAGCTAAGGTGCTTATTGAGAAGATGGCAGCCAATGACAATTATCATCCAGGGGGCAGAAATACTGTGAAGACTAGAGGAAAATTTGATGTTGATGCTTTAACTCTCTTGACAAGTTCTGTACAAGCATTAACAAGCAAGTTTGATAAAATCCAAGCTGGACCCCCTTCCACTTCATTCGAAACATGTCAATTATGTGGTATTCAAGGCCATATTGCACCACAATGTCAACCTCCCTCTGACGAAATGTCATTCAGGCAAGCAAATGCCTTTTATACTACGACACCTAAAAGGGCGTATGATGCTCAAGCTCAATTGTATTCTTCGCCACCACCACCTAATTTTCAAGCAAGGGCATCTTTTAATCACGAACCCATGTATCAACAACTACCACCACAAACTTCAAAATACAACCTCGATTCCACTATGGAGACTTTCACTACCTCCCTCCTTCGACAGCAAGAGCTTATGACAAAGCAATTTGAGCTACAAGCAAAGCAAATGAACACTTTGAAAGCTCAATTCAATTTCTTATGGCTTAAATAAGAGGATAGAAACCCACCTTTCTCAACTTTCACAACAAGTGAGTCATTTATCAACTCTTCATGATCAAGCAAAAGTCCAAAAGGAACAATGCAATGCAGTTTTCTTGAGAAGAGATGAATTATTTATGAGGAAAATAGATGAGAAAGTGTGCAGTGTGGAGTCAAGAAAAGACGAACAGGGTGAGGATGTAAAAAGTCCCAAACATGTTGCTCCATCGGCCTATGAGGAACCGATTCCCTTCCCGCAAAGGTTGTCAAAAGCCGTGCTCGATAGACATTTTGGGAAATATTGCGAAGCTTTTAAGAAGGTACACACTTCTATTCCTTTTTCCGATCTTTTAATTCAATTGCCTCAATTTGCATATTTTGTGAAGAATATTAAAGATCAACATGAGGATAAGGAAGTAGTAAATGAGAAAAGCTCTACTCTTTTATGTGATAGCCTACCACCTAAGCTGCATGATCCTGATAGTTTCACTATTCCCTGTATGATAAATGAAATTTTTTTTGACAAGGTTTTGTGTGATTTAGGTGCTAGTGTTAATTTAATGCCTTATTCATTATATGATAAATTGGGTTTGCAAAAACTTAAACCTTCCCCTATTTCTCTTCAAATGGCTGATAGGACTTCTAGACTCCTTAAGGGTGTGGTTGAGGATGCATTAGTTAAGGTTGGTGAACTTGTTTTTCCTGTTGATTTTATTGTTATGGACATGAAAGAAGACCATAAGATCCCGATTATCTTCGGTCGTCCATTCCTTGCCACAAGTCAAGCTCTAATAGATGTTCCTTAAGGACAAGTGACCATTAGGGTCCAGGATAAACAAGTCATGTTTAAGCTCTTTAATGAACATAATTTTATACTTGATGGTTGTACTTGTTTAAGAATTGATACTACTAACCCTTTGGTTGATAAGTGTGTATTTGGTAGAAATTTTTGTGAGAAACGAGGACAAAATTCCACCCAATGATGTGTTTAGCTACATGAAGGTAAGTTCGGATACAAAGCATGTCAAATATAAAGTGAAGGAGTCACTTGGAGGCAGATATTTTCATGGGCAACATTGCGGAGTTCCTTCTTCGTGTGGTGACCCAGGTTGAGCTAATAACGAAGGTCAAGCTAAAGACCTTGATAAACTAGCGCTTTGCGGGAGGCTACCTGTATTTTATTGTTTTTATTGTAGTTTTTTCTATTTTTTTGTGTGTTTTTGTTTTTCTTTGGCTTTTAGAGAGGTAAGGAGAGTCTAACTTGAGCTTGTGGGAGTTTGTTTTTGTGCAGATTTTGAGCCAAAGAAGAGTTGAATTCGTTAAACCTTTCAATATCCTTCGCGCCTGATTGGGCACCAATGCCTGGTCGGACCAGGCGCACATACGTTTCAGCAAAACTGCTCAAGTTCGACAAGCCATAACTTTTTGCGTTACTAAACGGATTTTTGCGCGTGACCTATCGTCGGAAAGCTCTTCAAGTCTATTTTCCAGTGCAATTAGAATCACTGCATTATCAATTATACCTCAAAAGTTATGATCAGAATAGTGCACATGACTCAATTTCTATCCTTTTCCCCACTAACTTCCCTTTAATACAATGAGGACATTGTCTGATTTAGCTTGGGGGGAAGTTCTTGTGTACACAAGGTATATCATTCACTCTCTCTTTCTACTTTATTGTGTTTAGACTAGCAGTAAGGTTTAATGCTTTCATCTGAAAAAAAAATGAAAAATACGAGAATCATGATAATGAATGGCCATTGAATGATAAGTGGCATTTATGCTACTATTTAGGCCTCAATTCCATCTCATTTCCCTACGCTTGTCGCTTGTTTAAGCCTATTTCGCTCGGTTTTCCCCGTTTTTCTGATCATTACGCTAATCCCTTCGTATTCCCCTCTTATTTACTTATTTGTGCTATTTTAGTGTTATTCCTTGTGTTTTATAGGCCAAAAAGGTGGACATCGGGAAAATAGGAAACCTCAGAAGGTTCAGGAGCCCGGTTGGGAGGCCTGACACGATCCTCGAGAAAGAGTGCACAAGCAATTTGATGACAAAGGATATAGTTTGCTGTAGATAGGAGTGAGAGAGCTTGTAGAGGGCGCGCAAATGGTGTATGAAGTGTTAAAGATTCTGTAGATGGCTGGCACGGGTGCGCAGACCGACCTTTGCTCACTTTTTTGGCCATAACGTTTGATCTACAATTTGGATTGAGGTGATTCAAGTTGTATTGGAAACTAGACTTGAAGAGCTTTCCAACGGTAGGTCGCACGCCCCCAGAAGCCTCCTAGAACAGAAGTTATGGCCGTTTGAAAATGAATGTCGCTGCTAGGCCAATCCCAATGCGCGGGCGCGCAGGTCTCTATCGCGGTCGCGCAGGAGCAGCTACGGGTCTTTTAAATGCTTCTTCCTCTCCTCTTTTTGGCCAAGTTTTGATTGGGGTTTTCTTTGGGGTTTTCTCTCTCCTCTTTGAGGGGTTAAACCCTAACATCTCTCCATCAATTTTCACATAAATTAGGCTTAGATTTAGTTTTAATCTTTGTTTTTATACTTTGTAATGTAGATTAAGAGTAATTTAGGGTAGTTTAGAGAGAGAAAGTGAAGAGCTTTAATGGAGGATTAAAGAAGATGAAGATGCAAAGTGACATTATTTTGGATTACTCTTCATAAATCTAATGAGCAATTTAAACTCTATCTCATTTATTGCTTTCTTTAATTCTTGCTTTGTTTAGTTATTTTCTTGATTAGTATAGTATTTTTGGTAATTTGTTCTTCTTGTTGGGTTTTATTCTTAGTCTCTCTCTTGTTCCTCTTTGTTGGTTAATGTTTGTTGTTCTTGTTAGTTTAGTTTGTGTTAATGTCTTTGATTTTGTTAGTTTAATTATGTTAGAGTAGATTGTTAACTAGAGTTAGGGATGATTAGTGATTGATGAGCAAGATGAACACTTACTTGATGGTTTAATTGGAATTGTTGATGTATTGAAGTAAAAATGAAGGTCTTAATGCTTGATTTCTTTCTAGCCCATTGATGTCATGATTTAATCGCTATTGTGCTAGTTGTGCGGTAGTCAGCTAGCTTAATAGAAGAATTTCATTGTTTAGTTGACCACGACCTCATAGGCAGGGTTGAGAGTTTAATGGCCTAGTGAGTGCAGGAGTAACCTAGGTTGTTAGGAAATTCTCATATTATCGACTTGACCAATTAGATTATTAATGATTGTTTGCTTGCGATTGATTAGTGTTAGTATAGTCGTGTGTGTGGATTAATTCTTAGTGATTTGGATGTGCTCATTGAGGTATGTGTAATGCTTGCTTTCGCTTTGGCCGGTTGAATGCATGATCTAATTGCTACCCATTTAGTTGCTTGGGAAAGAGCTAATTAGGTAGAAGTGAACCCTTTGAGTTGATCACGAGCCCTTGGCCGGGTTTGGGTGCTTGATTGTGTAGCGTGCTCAGGAGAGACCTAGATGATTGAGCTTCGCCCCTTTCAAGTTATTGAGAATGTCCGTGTTCATTGCTATGCTTGTGCTAGTCACATTGATTGCCTTGATTCCTCTTCCCTAGTGATTTAGTTTCTTAGTTCCTTTCCTTAGTTTTTAGTCTTCTATCCTTAGATTTAGTCCTCTCTTCCCCCATATCCTTTGACCTAGCTTAATAGCGGTAGTGTATACAATAATTCGCCGTCTCTGCGGATCGACCATTTACTTATTACTAGACTTGTTTGATGTAGGTTTAGGTATATAAATATTGTTTAGTAGACGGTAGTTAGTCCAACGACCTATCTATTCACCTCTCATCATTGAACTACTTCCCTGTGCCCCTATCCTTAATGCTAAAAAGGTTTTGATTTAATTTCGATTGAAAGACTTGCATTGTGGACTAAAAGATCATGATTTGACCTTAAATTGGTTGATCCCTAGTAGGGGTCAAAGCTATTAACCATATATAATTTAGGAGCTTGATTGTGTTAACCGTGAGGCTTGAGCCTTATATATTCATTCATGTGTGTGTTTAGTTCCTGGTGTAGCATTGATCTTATTTTTGATTCTAGACTCTTAGTAGTGTGTCGTAATGCATTGCACGTGCATGTTGAAAATGACGAAGACCATGTTCATTAGGTGACCTCCAGACGAATTTAGAACATTTGTTCCCTTCTTGCTCACCCATGTTGTAGCTTGACTATATTTTTAATAAACTTCACAAAAATTACCCCTTGGCCCCAATTTGGTTACTTCTCCCAAGTCTAGCTTGGGGGAGCTATATTATGCAGTATTCTGTGTGATTTTATTTCAAGTTGCAATTGATGAGAAATATATGAAAGAATAAGAGAGAAAAGAAGGAAAACTAGCATAGAGGTTTGTCGAAAAAAAAAAGAAAAAAAAAGTGGAAAAAAATTGAATGAAAAGAAGCTTGAAGTTAGAAAGAAATATGAAGAAGTAATGGGTGTTTTTATTGTAGTTGGGTTTGTGTTTTGTTGATTGAACATGGTGAATCGAGGTGTGACTCATTGCTTTGATAGCTCCCCGATTAGAATGATATAGCCCACATTTCCCAAATTATTTCCTACCCATTCTTATTCCCGGCCTACGTTTCAAGCTTGAAAAAGTCCTTCCGATCTTCGTGCATAGCATTGTGTTTGTTTAGGGTAAAAATTACCCTGGACACGTGGCCCTATAGGGGTCTGACACGTGTCATCACCCTATTGCACCATGGGCATCCAACCAATGGATGCCACGTGGCATTGTACCCCCAATAGGGGAGCAGACCCATCTGCTACAAAAAGAGGAATCTACCTCATTTATTGGTATTCATAAATACGCCCACAAAAACACGAGCAATATTTAATTGCGGAATCTCCCGGAATCCGAGAGAACCAATTTACCTTCCGTACGTAATTTCATCCGGAATCATACTAACTTGACAGTCGGAGGCGGAACTCCACCCAACTAGAGTTTCGTGGTTTTGCATGTACAGACGTCAGGCGTACATTCCAGGTGCTGTAACTCTCCCGTAGGACACCTCAGAAAACCCCGAAACATTTGGCGCCGTCTGTGGGGAGACTACCACTTGGATGGCATTTGAAAATGTACCAAACGTAGAGGGCAGCTGGCCCACGGCTGACCTTGAGGTCCACACGGACCATGAAAGCGGAAGTGGGGACGACTACAATGTTGAAACCTATATGGCCCCAGACGGGTCTTTCCGCTCCAGGCGCACCCGTTCCAAAGAAAAGAAGGAACGGGGCCAAGACAAGGCTTTCCCCAACAACCAAGGCGGCAAGCATACCAGACAACCCCAGGCGGCGGAGGGGTCGGCCCCCGTCACCAGAGAGGAGCTCATGAACCTCATGAGTAGCTTCAAAGGGGAAGTCACCGACATCATTAAAAAGTCAGCTGGTTCCAGCAAGGGCCAGTCGCCCAAGAGGGCTTCAGTAAAGAAGCCAATCAAAGACCGGGTGCCTACTCCTCACCCGAAGCCCAAAGGGGGGGATGGGCCCCTAATAGACCTTTCAAAAATTCGTTTCCCTAAATCAGGGCTGCGAAAGGCCATCCGGCAAATACAGCCGGATGGGTCAAAAAAGACCTTCACAGATGCCCGGTTGTTTATCTAGGATAAGAGAGGTCAGAGTATGTCCCAGGCGGCTTCTACGTCGACATACCCAGACAGTTTCCGAAATTCTTCGATCAAGCATTCGGAAACTCACCCTAGGAGCCAGACGCACGGCACGTCCGTCCGTACTGCTCCTCATGTGATCCACCAGGCTCCATTTGTGCCTCAGCAACCATATGGATCTGGATCACCATAC